ATCTCTTTACCGCTAGATTACGATAACGCAGAAAGAAATAGATATTGGAAAACATTGGGAAAACATTGGGACAACATTGGGTTGAGTTGCTTACAACCCGATGATTAACCATGCCGGATGCTTCGTTAGTTTCATACAATAGAGCATTTAAAACGATCTCAGAGGCGATTTTTCTTCTCTTAACTTCCTCTTCTGCCACGTACTGTGCTTTGTTCACATTGGCTGACTGATCTGAAGCCTGACAGAGGTAAATTAACAAGTAATTTTGACTCTGCTAACATTACACACTATTCAGGCCAGTCGTGGTTGTGTAAAATTCAAATATGGATCTATTCAGAGCTGCACAGATGGCAAACGGAGTGATGCCAGAAAATTAACTCAACAACAAGGAACGAACGTAAACTCCAAGAATAACCGAGAAAAAAAAAAAGGAACTCTAATTTGGTATCAATTAATTTATTTTCCGCATTTCTGGTTATTTCCTTAAAAACTATTTCGTTACTAACAATGGATCTTTGTCAGAACTTGAAATATGACCAACGTCAGAAGCATTAGAACCGACTACACCGTGACAGGCAAAATATTCTATCGCTAATAATTAGGCACCCAAAATTAACACCGGCTTAAATTCCAGACAGGTACACCCCATTTCGTTCTCCTTTACGTCTCTCTTGTCACAATTCCAAAACAAATTGAAGCAATTATCTTAAGCTGGCGATGACAAAGAGAGGAAGAGTAGAATAGATTTCATATTAAATGCATAATAACAAAAGCACCTGCTGAAACAAAATAATGAATATCTGGCGTGCGTGGACAATTTTTACGGACGAGGCGCCGATGAACACTTACTCGGAGCCGTGTAAAATGTATAAATTGTTAAGAGAGATTGCTATTTTTCAAGAGAGCAAAATGAGTGACGGCAGAATCATCTGCCATTAAGGCGCCAAGGGCCACTAATTCAGGGATTCTTCGATTGCCTGGTTTGACATTAGCTCAAGAACAATATTCAAATCGACTTTGAAATTATTCTGAGGCGCTTAATACCTCAGTGTTTTAACCAGCTAATGAGGTAAAATTAAAAGTGCAAACTATCGAAGAAGGGAAAATTAAAGTTGAATATAATTTCTTGAATTAAAGAGACTAGGAATACTAGGGCTTTTAAATTCGCGCAGGTCGAAACGTTCCTCTCGTTTCAACGAAAATTATTAAATTTTGCGCGAGTCAAATAGGTACGAAAAAGCGCATTTTGTTTCCACTCACATTGAAATCATCTGACGAGAGAGAAAGAGGCCAAAATGCTACTCACTCTATATCCTTTTTGTTGAAGCTACCAAAGAGAATTGCACATCCAATTGAGAGAAAACACATTCAACATTCAACAAGATAATATACAGAATCTTAACAAAGATCAAACTAATAAATTTAGTACATCGTGCCACAGTAAAACCTGTATTGCGCGAATCCCACACTAAGCGGACACCAAACGAAGTCCCTACTCCTGTTTTTTTTTTCACATTTACAGTAAAACAAACCTATATCCAACAAACAACCTCAGTGAGTAGACATGAACCCTAAAAATTGAGTCGTTCATTGACGCAATACTCGTTCTAAGCCGAAAATTCAAGAAATTTTTCAACAACTCCTCTCACATTTTGTATCAAATTTCTTAAAAAAAGAAAAAAAAGCCATAAATAGAGACGACACAAACAGGAAAAAAGCTCGAAACATTTGAATTAAAGACAGACAGCCACGTAGACGGTTTAAGCATGTTATTGTTGTGCAATTTGCTCAGACATAAATACAGGTTAACTCGCAATTTCCAGAAGGTCAAGATCCAGCAAACCGTAGAAAACAAAGAAAAAGACAAACCTATCAGCTGTGGTGTTAAACTGACCAACCATCAAATTCTCTCGACTACAATAAAACGAAAGGTATACGGGCTAAAGGGAGAATTGACAACCGAATCGTGGGATTTAACGGCACATTAATAGAAGGCATACCGAAATTATGCCGGTGACTAGGAGCCCAAAACACCATCGTTGGAACGTATGGAGGGTTTCCATGCAATTATATATTTCAAGTTCCTTTCATCACTGCAAAATCAAATTTATGAAGCGTACAGCACATAATCGCTTTCCGTCCACAAAAACAAGGATTCTGTCCTAACAATAAGATTGCGTTCTTCTGATGAGAGAAATGTGAAAATGACCGCAATCAAAAGTGTTACCCACAAAACAGGAAAATAGAATTAAATACAATCCCAGACCGCAAGAATGCACTAGAATATTTCCAATTGGTATTTCTGTCAAACCACTCGTTATGTTTCAAATGCTATGACTACATTCGTTTCCAGAAATTTCAAAATCACATCCAAAGTGATCTTGCTTATTGGAGTTCAATTTTCTCCATGGGGATTAAGAGCTGATGTTTTCAATGCTTTCTTTAGTTACTTGTTCATTTAATTGTGTTTTGATTATAGTTTGAAGCTATGCACTCTCGGGTGGGGGAAAATACGAGAGATTGGCGATCGTAAGAAAGAAAAACGAACTAACAGAATGCATTTTCATGCCTTTAAGATGAAATGAATTCCCGTTTGATACACATTTCGGTGATAAAGCTTATTAAAAGATATATATATATATAACTGCAGACAGTGCACACTGTTTCGACCTATGTGGGTCTCATCAGTGCAGTGCAGACACTGGGCCAAGCTCTGGAATAAACCATTGCCTGGGCGCTACACTTGTGGGACCAAGTGCAGACACGTTGCCATGCGAGAGTGCTCAAATCACAACTAAGGTGATGAGCTTCGCCCGATATATAACTGCAGACAGTACTGTTTTGGCCTTCTGGGCCTCATAAGTGCAGCATAGTTAAGTGTACAGTAAGGTCGACGTAACGAAGAGACCAACTCTTGACTGTTCTGGACTAGTTTAATGGACGACGTTTCGGCCGTTCGGCCTTCCTCAGGTTAAAAGTTAAAAACTAAAAAGCTACAAATTAACTGCAAATTCACGTCGAGACACTGTATCCTGTGAATCCTCTTACTGGGAGTTTATCGTTAGGCATACCAATTTTACACAGCCTATATATATATACACATACATATATTATAAACAACAACAATACAAAACAAAACAAGCCACCACCGAGAACTATTACAAAGGCATCTGAGTGAGAGATCAATGAAATAAAAATATATTAATCCTTATGGCAGAAACGCATCAAACATTTCACTTGCAGCGAAGAATGTGAGTAAATAGCTTACGAAGTTTATTAGCACAGCGACAGGGTAGAAAGTTAAATAAATGCGCACAACAAATACCAAATAACTATTGAAATACCTATTCAAGTTGTGTAATGAACTCGAGAGAAGAAATATCTAGTCTAATTTTAAATTGGCAGTATTACACCTGCGACACAACGAGAGCACGACGCCATAGCAGAGAGCGTTCGCTTCATCAAAAATCAGGCTGGCGACAATCTGTTTATGCTATGCTCTTGTGCGTCGCGTTTTTGATAAACGCTCATTGTTTCCAGTTTGGATTGAATAATGATGCCGAGAAGAAAGCGTTTGTAATTGAGTATCCGGTTCCCATGCTCGATAAGCCCCACGCGCGAAGAGTGTTCGGAAGTGAAGGCACGAGGCAAGCATAAGAATCTCCCTTGTAAGTTGGCAGAATAACAGCTGTCAAGATTTGTATTCATAATTCATAGCGGTTAAATTAAAGCAAGACAGAAGAGAGATAAATTAAACTAAGACATCCTAATGCAGAGTTGTCACTTCAATTCAGATCGGAGATGGATTCTTGAGCGCAAAAAAGAAAGAGCGCGCATCGACAGAGAAATTGCCCAATTCTCCACACTCGCAAAGCTGCCTCGAGGGTTCCCAAAATAATTCGATTAAAACAACCAAGCTTTATCATGTTGTGAAAGCATAAATATTGCAAGACTTCGAGAGACGCTTCACTCTGTTAAGTCGAAAAAATTTTGTCAGTATAGTGCAGCGATGGAAGTCCTCGTCGCTCAAGAATTTTTTTTTTTCACGATTCTAGGTGCTGTTTTGATCAGGCCAGGCCCCGCGGAAGAATTTTTAAACAATTATGGCGTAGTAAAATTCAGCGCTAGTGCGAAGTTCTCGCTGCATCACCTGCCTGCCGATTGTAATGAGTAGGAATTAAGAATCGAGGGACTTGTTGATGTTTTTTTTTTTCAAGTCAATATGCGGAGCATATCCTATATCCTACTATCCTACTTCAGCCTTAACTAGAATACCTTAAAATGCTAAGCCTTAGCACAGGAAAAAAAAAAAAAAACCAAACACGGACAACGGCAGAAATCACTCTGGAACAGAATAGAGAAACTGTATCACTAGGGGAAAATCTTTCACGAGAAAAATATTCAGTACGTATCAACAAAAAAAAATTGTCGAAGAATGATGTACTGACACATCGCTTAAGATTTTTGCCACGAACGGCAGCAGTTGTCTTTCCTAATATTGCAACAGTCTCCACGAAAAGGAGAAAAAAACTTTTACAGAGCGAGGCAAGCGAATGATCTCAGAGGATATTTAAAAACCTCTCAAAGAATCGCTGATATGTTTATAACTGAAGATAAACATATTCTTCTTAAACGCAAAGTACTTAAACACTTGTGGATCAATGCCGATGGGCTGAAAATGTAACCAGAATAAAACAATAAAAGAAAAGAAAAAGGGTACGTTTTGGATTCGTTGAAATTCCGCCCACTGTAACATGTGCGGGACGTCATTTTACACAGGGCTGCCGACTCTTAGGGAAACGGTATCTATAACGACAAAAAAAAGATGATTTTATCAAGAGAATTCGAACAAACCGAAACAAAAGGTCTCTTTTAGTAGCTGCTGCTACGAAACAGATATTTGGCAGAGATTTGGAAACTTGTAGCAGGTGTATCAGAGTGAGATTTGCTATGAGAGCGTTTTTTTTTAATGTCATTTCACACCCAAACTAGTACCAGTGGAAGTCACGTGACCCGCCTGAGTCGGCCTCATTTGATAGGCCACTTGATTATAGACTCGGCTTCTAATTAGCATATGGTGTCAAGGCAAGAAGGAAACCCAAAAGCCCGTGTATGATTGAGTCGCTTCAAGGCGGCTAGGAATTCAATGGCTGGAAACGAACTTTCGTGTCGTGCAAGCGCACCAAACGAGTCATGAATAACGCTTGAAGACAGCCTAAATCAAGAAAAATGGCGGATAATCGAAGGCCGTCCTCAGTGCCGTCAGAGGACTTCTATAAAACGCGTATGGCCAACTCGGCGAACGCTTCACGCAAGTCTTCGATGCAAGCTGGTACCGAAGCGCCGAATATCGTGTGTGCAGACCGATCGCTCTTTATCTTCACAAAGGAAAATATCATTCGAAAAGTTTGCCGCGCGATCATCGAGAGCAAAGTATCCTTTGATGCGTAAAAGCGTTTTGTATAAAATGTTTTCGAAGCCTTGGCGTTGTCTGTTAGTTTGTTGTCGTCTGTTGCACGAGAAGAGCGTGCGTGTTGGCTATTGCCCTGTGAGTGTCTAGTCTTGTAAAGTTTTCTCTAAATTTTTCCTGGACAATTTTCACTGTGCTGGTGGCGTGGCTCCGTGTGAACAGTTTTTTTTTATGCTCATTTTAGCGTTTCTGTGAGTTTGTGTTCGTATCATATATTCCTTAACTGAAGACAAGCCTTTTGAATATTTCATTTTATTGACCATCTTTGTCAATTGCATCCTCCTTGCCGCTAACACTCCACTGCCGAATGAGGACAAGTCCGATCTTGACATAAAACTAGTAAGTACACATCTTCACCGATAACTTCTCTGCATTACAGCGGAGCTCAGAACCGCTCGCCGCTGTTGCCCTTGATTGTACGAAAGTTATTCAGTCACTCTCTCTCACTCTGTTATTTTCCTGTCCTTCTACAGGAACAAGCCGAAATCTATTTATTGGCAATATTTTGCTTAGAAGCTCTATTAAAAGTTATAGCTCTTGGGTTTATATTACACTCTGACTCGTATCTACGGAACGGATGGAATGTCTTGGATTTTGTCGTCGTTGTAACAGGGTATGTCATGATGATGTATACAGTGTGCATGTGTTTATACCTACGCTGAATAATGCTGGGTTTTTTTTATTCAGCCATGTATGTAGATGTAATTTTCACTCGCGAATTTCAATATTTAAACAAGCTTTTGCTGCTGTACTGTAAATCTGTGGTGAGAAGATAGTCGTCTATTTTTGACAATATATCAGGTTTCGCGGAAAGAGTGAGCTTGAAATGTACACTGCGGGTTAACGGAAGCGAAACTCGTATGGAAATATTTCAACTTGACGATTGAACTTGGCACAGAGCAATTATAGGAACTATACAAATGACAACTAAGCATGCTATGCGGATCGTTACTTTATACACTTCATGCCAATCGGTTGCGTGTTAAGTTCCACTAAACTAGGCGACTTAACTCGGACAACTTGCGCGAGTTGGCGACACGTAAAATGGTCGAAGTTTTAACAGTAAGGAAAACTCGCTCAAGCGAAACACATCAACAAAAGCAGCCCCCAGTTTGGTCACGCTAGCGAGCCTGTCTATTCCAGACGACCTCATGGCAGCACTGTTGTAAAAAGTTGCTTCTGTTCTTTTTAGTTTTGATTGTCTGCGTCAGACAACTTTTACAAGAGGAAATTGTGTTTCCATTACGCGATTATCGTTTCCCTGCTCATCCTAGCGGGTAACAAATTTCGATATTTCAAGGTTTCACGCGATCTTAAATCCTGCTAAAATGTATCTACGATTAAAACCGAAATTTCATTAATTGCCCAATTCGCTATTATCCTAGACAGATCCTTGTTTTATTGCTGGATTTCAAATGACATGGACTAACGCAGGAATTCCGCAGCGCAACAACTCCTCCACGCCAAAACTCATCGCCGTTAAATTATTTAGCGTCGCTAGAGTAAATAGTCATGTTATAAAAAGTCAAAACACAAGTGCTAGCACATCCATTACACGTAGGACCAGCTATTTGCTCAAAATCGAAATAAATAGTTAAATCACGTCTTAAAACGCTCAGTACACAACTCAGACCCGGCGCAGGTATTTAGCAGACCCCCAATTAAACTGCAATATCAAATAAGGCAAGAAACAACTCTAAGCGGGATTTGGAAATAAAATTCAAATCAGAGAGTATCGACGAACTAAGCTCGCAGTTTCATCTCGCACAAGAGGATAACGCGCAGTTTTCCTTAAGTTTTCCGTATACCGTAGTTCAAATATCACAAAAATGTCATTTCAAGCCAAAATTTTTCGTTAAGTTAACAGATACTATGACCTAAGTCTTACATGACATAACTCCTCGCCTACGCATTAAACATGACTCATCCGAGAATAATTTTCGCCGAGTAAAATTTTCCACGTAGTATCTATGGTAACATAGGTCGTCGCAGAAGAGGAAGACAAATTAAAGAAAGGGAAATGTTGAGTACAAATGACCAGATAGTTTTGTAAACTTTTCCGGAGTAAATAAAACCGTCGGATAAAGCGCGATTGAAACTAGAAAATTAACACTTTGGTCAGAATCTCGCTCTAAATGGATTAAATACCAATCGGTTAAACTGGCAGTCAGACGTGAAATTTTAATTGAAGTTTGCTTTAAAAAGCCAAGGGGCAGACCGATATTGCTGTTTCCTGCGGCCAAATACTTCAAGTTTCGCTGTTCTCTCCTTCTAAAACCAATTGTTTGCAGAACGGGTAATAAATTATTTAAAGCCGCGGGGAACTTGCCAGGGACGCAGTTTCGGCACTACACCTGTCGAAATCTCGTCGGGTTACCCCGAAAAACTGCCATTTTACCGCCAAGCTGCGCCTTTCTCTGGTAATTTACTACACGAGTCTAAGAAGCGAAAGTGAACAAAAACTATGTTTTACTAACATCATGGCAGAGTCCACAGTTTCTATATTTACATAACAAAACTATTTTACATGGAGATATGTCACATTGGCTCAAGAAGACCCGTGACAAAGACGCGTGCTTATTTTAGTTCGCATTTGCATGCTAATAATTGACGTTAAGGAAAAGACAATAAACAAATAACTGCTAGTTTTTCTTCTGTAGGAAAATGCCGACATCTTCGAAGTTGTAATTGTTTCGGCGAATTATGAAAGCTCGCGCACTGTGTTTTAACTTTTCCCTAAATTGACACATTCTGCAGAATCGATTCAAGAAAGAGGATTTTATCACCAAAATCGTCTGTGTTACAGTATTCACAATACCTTGGACAAGTTTTTGTTTGTTAAACTTATAAACCGTTACTTGAAAGGTGAAAGAAACACGATTGCATACTGCAATTTACTTAAACAAGTGTTGTGTGTAATTCCACAAGCGAAAGTATTCGTGTTAATGATGGTTCATGCAAGGGAAATGAAACATTCAAACCTGTAAGATGCAAATCATAAAATCAATCTATCTAACTTGGCTCTACTGAAGAATACGAGTTCACATCTAAACCCAGCTCTACACTTGATACAAGATAAGAAAACACCTTTAATGTGATAAGGAAAATATTGAACATTTCTTTTTACAAACACAAATACTGATGTAAATTCATTTGGTAATTTGTGTTTTCTTTACTCAAAGAAAGTATCTACTCTGTGCCACAGCTTGCTTAGACACACTATTGGCCAAATTTTAAAATCAAACCTTCCATCAAATTGGGAAAAAAAAACAAATCAGAAACATCACCTTTCTTCCTTTTCTCTTGTGAGAACAAGTGAAAACCTGTACTTTTAATTTCAGGTTGTTATAGCAACATGCAGTTAAGTTGGCAATGCACACAGCAATAGCTTTAATAGCCATAATTATTTTTAAACATTATCAACAACTTTGCAGTAATTACAGAGAATGTTTCCTTTAGCTGCTAAATAATGACTCTTGTTTTAGTTTTTTTTTATTATTATTATGAGCAAAAGAAAATCGTTATATTAGTTTTACCAATACGGTCTACTCTATTGTATAAGGACTATGAAGACTGACACCAAATAATTGGTTTTTGCCTGAGTGATAAATTGCCAATGAATTCAAAATTACCAATTAAAAATAATTATTGACATTTTCTGACAACACATTAATTATGTCACATTACATGTGTTCAATTAAAATCCTTTTGCAACAAGCAACACAGAAGATGGCAGAGAAAAAGAAAGAAAAAAAAGAAAAAACATACATCACATAAGAAGCTGTTAAATGGACTGTTCTGCGCACTTCGCAATAATGACACATTTTGTAATAACCTATGCATTTTCTAGTGAAGGCAAACTACTGTAGGGGCACTGACATTTAGTAATAATATTCAGTCTATGCAACATGACATAACATCTTGACACAAATTGTAATAATCTCAACTTTGTCACAAATTACAGTGTGTTTTCCCATATAAATACAAAACTTTTAAAGGTGTGTCTTAGAAAAAAAATATGCTCAACAAAATTGGTGTACCATTTTGCACATAAATTATGGATAGATAGATAGATAGATAGATAGATAGACAGTTTATTTGAAAAACATTGTAACCGAAGGTTGAATTACGTATTCATTTACAAATTTAAGAAATATCTAAAAATGGCAACATACTTTTAAAATATTCAAAATTAGGTAACATAGATAGAGTCAGCTTATACAAAGTGTGTGTAAATGATGAAAGATAAAACTATCATGGCACCTGTTCGTACGAACCACAGGTAAATTAAAAGCGCGCTTTTTCCTTAAGTCCACCATAGATGGGCATGTTATCTATTGAAGGCTTGGCTTTATGAACACTGCTAAACAAATACCAAAGTTTCACCATAATTTCAGAAGGTAAACTTTATAAAGCAAAGAGACAAAGTCAAGATAGGCAAACCAATTCACATCAAAGATCTGTAAGCTTGTTCTCGTAACTAGGTCTGTGCAATCTTCTATTAGCTAGTGTTGAGAAACTGGTTTTATATCAGAACAATAGTCTTCAGCTGACAATTTTCTCATCTCTCATTACCTGTCTATCAAACAATGTATCAAACTAGTCAGGAGAATTTTTAACGTACATTGAATACCCTTTTTTTGGACATGAAAGGATCAACTAGCAACTGATTTTTCCCCAACTCTTTCATTCTCAAAATCTCATTGATAATTGTTCTTGCTGTCTACTGCACAATTCTTATAATGTTAGTTCAGAAAACTTGGTATTAGATCAAATTAAATCCCCTATTTGATATTTTTCATTATTCTCGTCACTTTTCCACTTGAGTTAAGGAGAAATTGTCTGGGTCACTCATGGGAGTTTAAGTGTCAAACAACTTCTTCTGTCAACTGACCATTACTAACAGTGGTACTTCAAGATAGTTCTCAGTCACCAACACCAGCAGTTGTTTTGCTTTAGATATGGTGAACAATTGCATAAATTTACCAATTTGCCAATTTCTCAAAAGAAAATCATGCAGAGACATTTTACTTGAAAATAAGACAGTTTTACCAATGGTTTGTTAGCAAATCAAACAGCAAACACAGAGTACTTCAAATTCCTTTTGTATACTTTGAGACACTCCAAATTTCATATTACTCAAAAGACACAAAAAAGTACAGTTGCACATCAAAATTACTGGTACATTTCAACCCTCAATGTTAAAAACCATCTCACATCAATTGAGTAAAAATGGCATATGAATTCTGTTCTTACAAGCTGTCATTCTGGTCAACACAGACTGTATTTCTATCGATTTTTGTTGATGAATGATACATATAATAAGTTCAAAACAACTAAACAAAATAAAATTTAACCCAAAAATAATAATTTAAAGTAAACCATAGCATGCATGGTATCTTCTTTTGAGTTTCAAATTATCCCTTGGACTAAATTTTTCCAAAGCAGTTTCATTTTCACTTTACATTCATTATTTTCATAATTTGAAAAAATCAAAAAAAGAAAAAAAATCAATTAAAGTGAATCTACAAAATTTTGATAGTCTTAACATAATTATATCATGGCATTTTCTCCATGAAGGTTTACACCATTTATGATCATGTATATAAATCACATCATACCTTATAAAGATAGGCTGTCACAGTTCTACTAAAGAAAGATAATGAATTTACAGCTTCCACATTTAGAAAGAAAGCAAATGTTAAAATTTGACATAAGTGACTGATTGCATTTATGGTTTACCTATCACTCCTAAGATCTCTTTCATAATTCTCCATACTGTGTGCCGTGCGCTACTTATAGTTTTGGTGCTAGGAATTTATAGTGTTGAATCACATGACAGTACCCTAATTGATATCTTTCTAAATTCTTCCTTGATATTGCAGGGCTCGACACTAACTTTTCAACTTACTAGCCAAGTGGCTAGTGACATCTTAGATGTTTTTAGATGTTACAACAATTTCAGTTTGTTTACTAGCCAAACTGGCTAGTGGAAATTGAAAACCACTTGCCAAAACTGAATTTCTACTAGTCTGTGGCTAGTGGGCTACTGTTAGTGTCGAGCCCTGTATTGCAAGGAGAAAATATTTTTTTGGTCACTGCTGGGAGTGAGGGGGATGTGTGTAAACTACATGTATAAATTAACAGCCACAATGAGGGAGTGAAGACATTTTAAAACATTTCATGATGGACACAAAAAGTCCTGTAATTCAATTCACAAAGGGATAAGAAGCTTCAGAGAAAAATGTGGGAAAAGTCCACGAATCCACTCCAACTCCTTTAGAAGCTGAGAAATTCATGCATTCATTATGACAAACATTTCCAGGGAAATAGGGTGCTTACTGCCAAATGGCTTTTAAAGGGATAATTGTGGTTAAGAACAATGGTTCTTATGCTTTAAAACAGGTCTGAAATAAAAATAGAACATACTTTTTCTACTGGCCAGGGTAATTTTAAAAGAGTGATTAGTCACTGGGTTGTTTAACCCTTTAACTCCAAGAGGTGATTACCAAGTAACTTTTGTCTACAATATACATAAATTGTCCACAAAACAGGTAATGAAAATACTCAAACTAATCAGGTAGAAGTTATCTTGATCTAACACCAAATTCTTGTAACTAATTTACAAGGAAATGTGTAGGCAGTTAGAGGGGAGAATTAACAATCAGATCTTGGGAAATGGGGGCTTAAAGCAAGTTTGAATAGCTAATGCAGCTACCATTATTCATTTGTGCCTGTAACTCAAATTGCTTTGTACTGTATATTCTAACTTTGTAAAACTGATTTTTTACTTCAGCCTTTTGAGCTTGCCACAACTAAGCCTTGTCAATGCTGGAATGCTGAAGGCTCTGAGAGCTGCAAGAGTGCTGCGGCCACTGAAGCTCGTATCAGGCATTCCAAGTAAGTCAAACACAGATTTGTGCCCTCATTCACAAAGTGTTATTTTCCTCTTACTGTGAGTAGTAACTTATCTCTAGGCTACAGTAGTTATGTTAATTTTACATTTAATAATGATTCTAGAAGAATCTGTAGGTCACATCATTTATAGCAGTTAGCAAATTAAAATATGTTTTAAGCAGAAAAAACCTTAAGAAATTTCTTAAGCTCGAATATTTAGTAAATTTTATTGTAAGTTAGCATTAAGGTCACTAATATAGAGAAACTTCTGGATAGTTATTTTTGAGTTTACTCTTTGTTTACCACTAATTTTCAGTTGAGAAATTTCACTGTTAAACAGTTAAACAACATCTATAAGACATCATTATGCTATGAATCAACTACGTTTTCTCCCGGCAATGGCCAGCTGCAAAGTATCTAGCAAGAGAATCTAGCTATTCTCTGTTTAGTAATCTGCAGAAACATTTTAATTTTGGAGGCTTTGGCTCAATACACTTCTCTCTATCCATTAAGAAAGCCAAATTTAAAGAAACAAAAATTTTTGTTGGTGAATGTGGAAGAGAGAGCCTAAAGATGATTATGGAGGAATTCTGACTATTTGTGGTTTAAACTTTATCTCAACCATGACTCTCAAGAATGCAGTCTATTTTATTCAACAAATTTAGGGTTTACAAATTGTTAAATCAAAATCTCAAGACACTGTCATGTGATTAGAGTTTATAAGCTAATCAGATTTTTGAATGCAGTAAAACATGAACTTGAACCAATTAATGCTACCCGACTTTTATTTTTACTGAGTAATCCTAAGAGAGAGAAATATGTCAAGTGATGAGTTAGCCAATTTGCCCGTCACACTTAGTTGGAATAGCTTCTGTGAATGCCTTGTCGCTCAGACTTTCCTATTTTTGATTCTTAAGTTATTTTCATACACCAATAGCTTAAATGTAAATTACCATCCCTAAAATGTTTCAAACTTTAGTTCAAATATTGGCCTCGCAAAAATTACGATAACAATCAAATTGCATTAGTGCACCTTCCTTGTGTGCACAGGTGTGACGGAAAAGTTTGTTCTGTTGTATACACAAAAACAATAAATTAAGGTTAAATCGATAAACTAAAGCCTTTTATTGATTCAAATTGGAGTAGACAAGATGGCGTGTTTGCCAAAATTGCTCGTAACAGATGGAAATGAACAACAAAAAGTACAACAGAAGTACTTACCACGATAATTCGCAGCGGGATTTTACATCTTTTTCCGTGTTTTTATCGAGCTTTTCCGATTCTATTGAAGCATAGTGGAATTCAGTGTCACTAATACTTGTTCGATGCCTTGGATCGAGAAACAGATGGCGAAAATATCACTGCAAATTCCTGTGTATCGGCATGCAAGCGTCATTTGAATGTAAATCCGAGAAACGCGAGAGACCCTGGGGCTGATACGAAACAGCAGTGTTGTACAGCGGAGATTCAACTCGCCCAAAATGGCGACCTAACTAACCATCGCTAAAATAGTCCATTTTAGCTTTTGAAAAAATATTGCTAAAATTTGTTACATATTTCTTTGAAAACATTGCAACATGACAGAGATAAATGCACAATTCTCCCTATTTAATGTTATGGACTTTCCTTCATTCAACTTCACAACAGACAGTTCAATGATTTGTATTATGTGCACACCACATGATAGGTTAGTGTTGATGATTCTTTCGAAAGTGCATTTTTTTTTTCAGTCTCGCTCTAATATCTCTTAAATCTATTTTTAAGCTGTTCACAAGCGAATATTGATGTGCTAAAGGTTTACACTGGAAAATATACTCGGTAATATAAAACATCGGAGTAATGCATCTATCATCAGCCATCCCTTGAGGGGGGGGAGAACCCCGAGCAAGGGAGGGGACCTTGTACAAGGCCCGGACAAAACCTTACTTTCCCCCTCCTTGGTGAGGCCACAGAGCAATAAAGGTTAAATGGTGCCCCTCCTGAAGGGGCAGCCGACTAAAAATTATGCAAGAAGTCACTTCAACATTCACAGTACAAATTTAATTGGCTGATACACTGATGGTGATCAAGACAGCATTTCTCCTTGCAATATCAGTGCAATATTAAGCAGACAGATGATGAGAATAAAGAAAGATATCAAAAAAGGGATTAAAAGTTGATCCAATACCAAACTCTCTGAACTAAAATCATGAGAATTGTATAGAAGACAGTAAGGAGAGATACTATTCAGACCTTGGGAGTAAAAGGGTAAATATCTAATGTCTGTATCACATTAAATGGTAATGATACATTTCTTGTTCTCAACAGGTCTTCAAGTAGTGATGAAGTCCATCATGTGTGCCATGGTGCCACTTCTGCAAATTTGTTTACTCGTAGGATTTGTAATCATAATTTATGCAATCATAGGATTAGAATTTCTTTCTGGAAAATTTCACTTTGTGTGCCAAACAAATAACTCAGGTGAGTATGGTGGTTTGTCCTTCACATTTTTTCTCAATTTGATCAATTATTGTTGTCCTGCTGCTCTTAAATACTTCTGTGCTGTTGCTTTCTATGGAATCAATCAGTTTGATTTCAATTTCCTTTGCTTTATTTCAATCAGCTCTTTAATTAAACTTGACCAATGAGCATACTAAAAGCTTTTGCATGTATGTGTACTGGTATATTATAATTATTATGTAAGGAACTTGTTTTTTGCTATTTATTGATTGTTTATTGATCAATATAATTATAAACAAAGTTTCCTTAAAAGATTATGCAACACCCATCAGTTGATGTTGAAATTCAGTGATTGCTTATATCAGAAATTACAACCAAACTTAGTGGCTTGAAAATCTATCGTGAATCTTGTATCTTTAGCCCTTGCAATCCCATTAGTGACAAACTGGTCACCTCTCCCTACAATATCAAACTGATACCTGTTAGTGACAAGATTAACCCTTTAATCCCAAAGTGCGACTACCATCTAATTTCTCCTTGCATATCACCTCTGATTTATACATTAAGGTCACGAAAATAAAGAAAATGTTCACCAACTAAAGATACTTGTGATTGTCAAACAAATTCTCCTTGTCAGCACGTAAGGAAATGTATAGAAAACAGTATGGTGAATATGCATACTGATGTTAGGGTGGAAATAGTTTAAAGGTCGGCACACACGAGGGGACTAGTCCCTGCGACTAGTCCGTGTGACTAGTCCCGGCGACAAGTCTTTGAAGGGTTTACACGAGGGGACCGGTAGCAGGGACTAGTCCCTTAAGGCGTTCACACGAGGGCACTCAATTGCACAAGAACATAGGAAAATTAAGAGGCAAATGATGTTTCTTAGTCTGGGGCGTTACACGAAAACAATTAAAATTTGG